ATGTGTGCATGCACGAGCGCACAAACGGACACACAAAAGAGGCTGGAAAGGGAAAGGTGCAGCGGGGGGGAGGCGAGGGGAGGCGAGGGGAGGCGAGGGGGGAAACCCGGATTCAGTGGTTCTGCTGCAGAGACGTGGGCTGAACTCATCTCAGCCCGGCGTGGAGGCAAATGCAGAGATATGAGCACAGCAGCAGGCGGGCACAGAATCTGCAGCAGCTCAGACCAGAACAGATCTGCTGCCGTCTATAAATACAAAAACCTAAATGTGTTTAGCTCCCCGCGCCTGGAAGCCTTTTCCTCTCGCGGGGCTCAGATAGACAAAGGCCAGGGCTCGCCTCCGTGCTCAGGCTGCAGCATAAATATATGCTCCAGACAGACACCCCCTCACCCTCCATCACTCACCCGCGCTGGGGGAGGGGCGCCAGGCTAACCCCAAACACATCCCCCCCAGCCATCTCCATCTCCTTTACATTTCCTCTAATCTCTCATCGAAACGCGACCGCCTCCCACCTGAGCTCTGTGCTTCATAAAGACAACGACAGAAGCAGCTACATCACATCATTGTTGAGAAAATATACCAAAAAATAATTTAAAAAAGCAAAAATGTGGCAGCAAAGGTGCCAGAAAGAGTAAAAAGAAAAAAAACAAAACAAAACAATAGAACATTCAAACCATTCAAACACTGTAGGAACACTGAAAACAACAGCAAGAATCTGTAAAATAAAGATATTTTTGCTGATTTAAACATTTGTAGAAATATACATGTTTTCTGTGGACATTATTTGCAGTTTTTTTTAACACTCAACATGTAAATTTTTTTTTTTATTCTGTGATTTTACAAAATATCTACAATTTAACAAAACTGCAAATAACAGTAAATTAAAAAAAAAAAAACTTAATCTACATAATTTTTCTCTATTTTTTTCTTCATTTGTGCTCATTTAAACAGTATAAAAAATGTGTGATTATACTGAAGAACACTGCACAAGCACAAATTATAATTTGGAATAATATAGATTTTGGAAACGGACATTATGTACAGTTTTGGCCTTTTAAGAAAAAAATTAATTAAAGTCTGTTAACTAATAACCATTTCTTTCCGATTAAAAAATATGTAAACGTTTTAAGAAAAATTTCATAAACTTAATTTTCCCTTAAAACAATGAAAAACATCTTAAAATACTGATTATTTTCTGAAATATTCAAAGTAAAAAAAACTGTGTTTTTTTTTTTAGTCACTGTCTGTAAAATAATTGATGATTTTTTGAGAGAGGGGTTTTTTTTGTTGTGATTATTTTTTGTTTTTTTCTTTTTTTTATTATTATTATTGTTTTTTTTCTTTTTTTTTTTTTTTTTTTTTTTTTTTATTTTTTTTTTTTTTTGTCGTCATGTTGTTTATTGATTTTGTTGTTTTTTGTAATACTGCTTTTTTGTGTTATTTTTTATTTTTTTTTGTTGTTGTTTTTTAATCTTCTTTTTTTTTTTTTTTTTTTGTGTTTTTCTATCATGTGTGTAATTTAACAAAACATCTGTAAAATATCAGGGAATTCTTTAAAAAAATGCAGTTAAGACTGTTTACAACCTCCATGTTTTAAAGTGCAGGTTTCAATCACAAAGAAGTCTTTGTAAAAAAAAAAAAGAGCGAGCGCGAGTTTAAATCAGTCATGTAAATATGCGTGTCTAAACAGCCCTGAATGAGCCTCGGACCCAGACGTATTTACTGCCAGGTGCTGATGGTTATAATTCATCTCTCAGAGCCGAGTCTGGCAGCAGATTATTACCACGTATGATTTAACAGCCACATCCTGAGGACAGATGAAGAGTCGGCCTTTTGTTTCTCGCTGCAGGAAAACTGGACCACAGCATTATTTCCCAGAGACACATGTTACTGGATATTGGTCCTTACATTCCTGCAGTCGCCTCACATGCATTTTTCATTACGGCTGCTCCTGCACAGGCGTGGACTCCATCGCACACCATAAATGTTTGTTTTCCTTTTGTCTGCAGTAAATGACGCACCGATATGTGGGATTCATCCTGGATGTGCAGAAATCTGATAACGTGATCAGGAATCTGCCTCCAGCGTACACGAGTCGTTTTCTAAAGAGAAAAAGTCAAAATCCTCTGAGTCCAGCTTCTTAAACATGAATATTGTGGTAAAAACAAGATGTTTGAGGATATCATTTTGGATTTTTTGTGACATTTTTTCACCAACACTGACACTTTTTACAGTTTTTTGACTTACATCAAATGAATCACAAGTTATTTCTTTCAAAAAAAAAAACCCAAAAAACGCAGAAGTTCTCTGATTCCACCTTCCTAAATGTAAAAACAAAACATTTGAGGGCGTCATCATGGACATTTTTCACCATTTTCTAACCCGGACCAAACAACTAACTGATGAACCCATGAATCGATGAGTTAATTAATCACCAACTATTCAGAATTTTGATAATTGGTCTGATTATTCTTTAAAATACAAACAGAATCTACATCGTCTGGTTGCAGCGTCTTAAATTTGAATGTTAAAGTCAGACATCTTAGGACGCCATCTTGGATGTTTTTGGATGTTTTTGGATGTTTTCGTAGTTTATCTACAGGACAATAAATGTTTGAAAGTAAACCAGAATGCCTTTGTGCATCGTTCACCTTTATGTTTAATCTGAAATGAGTGTTTTCTATCATGAATCATTGCATTAAAGTTCCCCAGATCACAGCAAACCAAGTGTTAGATGGTCAGAACGTCCTTGTTCGAGCCGAACCTGCACCATGTTCTCTGGTGTCCTGCCTCCGACCTCCACACATGCACATTATATTTCCATTTTGCAGATATTAGACGGGGGTCTGAAGGGCAGATGGGACTCCCTCCATCCCTCCATCCATCCCTCCATCCCTCCGTCCGCCCCCAGCTTCAGCCTTTCTTTACATGCACCTCTCAACAGATGGACTCTGGAAAATACTGGGACGCTCCTAATCTGCTGCTCTACACGCACAGCACACAACAGCAAACACATACACCTACAGTACATCTCCACGGCTTAATCTGTTTTGGTAGAATACAACAGCTTAAAGGCTTTCTCCCCCCTCGGTCTGAGTTGTCAACAAAGAGCTCGACGAAATGAGAGCAGCATAAGTTTGCTTTAAATTATTCCTCACATCTGCAGAACCGCTTTGAAAAAAGACTTTAAAAGACTAAAAAATAACACCGTGGGTTTAGATACAAGCCTCATTTATCCACACAGTCGCCTCGAATTAAACACGAACCTCCTTTAGTGCCGTCAAAGCACGTTTTCTGGTGAAAACATTCGGTCTTGCACAATAGATTTCGGTTTAACTGTCAAACTCTCTGCACATTTCACACCAGCGGCTGCAAGACAAACATACACGCAGCAGCAGAGATCAACTATCACACATACTGTCAGCTGTTTGAGCAGTTAATCCAACATTCAGAGTCATTTTCTCAAATAAAAAATATGTATAAAAAGGACAAAAGAAGACATTTAGGGGCATCATCTCAAACGTTTTGGTCATTTTTCACCATTTTCTGACATGTAGAGACCAAACAACTCATCGATTAATCAACTATTCACTGAATCACAAACTGTTTTAATGGTAAATTTATCAGTTTAAATGCATTTTAAAAGAATAAACTGTCTAAATTCTCTGATTACAACTTTCTAAACGTCATTTGAAGACATCATCTTGGACCTTTAGGACATTTTTTGCCATTTTCTCACTGAGATCAATCAACTAACTCATTAATCCACTACTATTGAATTGATTGCCGACTGTTTTGATAATCAGTTAATCAATGTGAGCAGTTTTAAATGAAAAAAAACAAAACTTCAACCTTCTCTGATTGCAACATGTTTTTGTAAACAAAGCAAGACGTTTTCTGGACCAAACAACGAATCGATTCTTTATCAGCTACTAAACTGATCACCAATTATTTTGATTTTTGATTGATCAGTGTATTTTTCGTAAAGAAAACAAGGTCTAAATTCTCTTTTATGTGAATATTGTGGACAAAACAAGACATTTGAGGATGTGATCTTGGATTTTTCACCATTTTTCTACTTTTTCTAGATTAAACAACTCAACATCAATCTTGAATTAATCACCAGCTACTGTGATAATCGATTAAACAGTTCGATTTCAGAAAAAGAACGATAAATTCTCAGATAGCAGGATGTTAAATGTGAATATTTTGGACAAAACATGACATTTGATAACATTATTTTGGACTTTATGGACATTTTTCACCATTGTAAACAAAACAACTAACTGATTAACCAAGAAAATAATCAACAAAATAAAATAAATTAAATATTTTTTTCAAATAATCGTTGTTTGCAGCTCTAACCAAAAATGCAAATTGTGTGCATCCCATTAATCCTGCTTGGAATCGATGCACAGTTACATGTTTTGCACCTTTTTAATCATTTGTATGTCACATTTCCATAAAACACGAATTATTTATGTGACTGCAAAGATCAGATTAAATGTCTAAACCTAATAATTGCGCTGCAGGTTTCTTCTGCATACATGAAGAGAGGTCTGCTGTGCACTGTGCTCGTGCATTGACAGCAGGAGTCTCGCACTAAACCCCCCGATCGCTGCGAGCTTTGTGACATTATTTGCATGAAATTATAGATTCGTGCACTGACAAAGAGCCGCGCATGCAAACTTCTGTCAACCGTTTCTCCGAAGCAAAAAACGTGAACAACTTTGAGTCTGAGTGAAACCAGCTGCAGCACAGTGAATGCACACATCAGGAGATGCTTTTTTTTTTCTTTGCACATTCTGCACGCTTTTATATTACACAACCAGGCAAACGCTACCTGAAGACACTGAGGAGTCTGTCCACTAAGTGCACGGGGAAGGTGTTTCTGATTTAAAAGAGCGTTAAAGCCCCGTATTGATAAAACCCGGAGTCGCTTTATCTCATCAAACGATGCAGCAATTTCTTTTTTAAAAATAAAATAAAAATGTACTTACGATTTTAATGGATTATGAATGACAGTCGCCATTTTCCTGCAGGACTGTAACGTAATATTCCAAATCTCGGTGTAGTTTGGGACCCTTATGAAAAAAAAAACACAACAGCCAATGCGGTCCTGCGTGCACCGCGCTCCTGCCAATACAACAGCAGCGTCCAGACAGTGGGCGTGGCTTCAGATAAATCTGTCAAAATTAACGTCCCAGACCCCAGACTGGGATAAAACCGGGAAATAAACCTGATTTACATTTATCACAATGAAAAAAACTGTTAGAAATAATATCAACACTACACAGGCTGCCGTGTAACGTCGATTCGACCCGTTTAAATGGCTTTTTCGGACAAGAATCAACCAGTTTGTGATGCATTCATTTAAATTTATTTTAATTATTTAAAACAAGATGCACACTTTTGGACATGTGCTGAAACTGTAATGCATTTTGTATTTTTAAAGTTAAAAAAAATAAAATACTAAATAATTTATATACATTATTATCCTCTGTAGCGCCTTAAGAAATTGACCAATGAATGGCTGAAACGTCACACGCCATTGTTTGCGTTCGACCAATTAGCGTCGCGTGGAGGCGGGACAACATGGCAGGAACTTTCCATGTAGCAGTTAGCTTCTGAGGTTTAACCACTGAAACATTGCTCGTTGGCATCGGTTTTTAAAGAATGTTTAGCCTGTTTTAGGATAATATTGACGTTATTGACCTATTAAAACTTAACTGGGTTACATTACTCATGTTGAATGTCCGGCATTTAAAACCAAACGCGTCTAGAAAGATGTGTAGCTAACATTAGCTCAAGGATGCTAACGATAGCTTGCTAACTTTGCTAACTAGTAAACACGCCGCAGTCTGGAGGCTCAAACTCACAAGTGGATGAGAGAAAAGGCGTCGTGAGGATCCGAAACTTCTGCAAGGGATGAAGAAGTGGAACTGGAGAGAAGGGCAGCGACAGAACCGGCGACAAGGCGGCGGTCAGAGATGGTACAGAGGCAGCCGGCAAAGATCCGCACAGGACGTGCACTGGTACTTGTGTTAAATGGGACAGATTGGAGGTTAAAAACTGTGACATGTGTTGTGTCTGTAACGCCAATTATTGTCTGATTCTACGTCAGTCATACCTCATAACTGCTCAGTACAGAAAAGGAAGAGAAATGTTTGTATTTTTCTGTCATCTGATGCATAAACATAAATAAATGATAATAAATAAAGCATTTATTAACACTAAAGACCGAGGAGGACTAGACAAGTGCAATATAAGTTAATCCCACAATAAAAAGTAAAACCAGAAGTATAAAGGAGTATATAACACCAGAAAGAAAACCACAGTGGAGTCAGTTTGTGGATCCAAAGCTCTGCTCAGTGCAGACATGAACTTTTCTCCATCACCTCCAGATAACACATTTAATCGATTACTTATTTTGGGATATTGTGTTCTGGGACCTTTCCTCTCGTCAGCACCTGCATCTCTTCTCCTGGACTATTTAAATTAATATTAAATAAACTTAACACTAAAAATTAAAATGGGAATTAATAATCTATAAGCTTGACCAGTCTCACTCGTGCTCGTAGATAAAAGTTGGCAGCTCTGGTCTTACTCAGCGGCTCTCACATGTTTTTGTCTCACATTATTTCTGAAAACACGCATTCCAAGTCACACCTTTATGTATTATTATAGCTGTAAATCAGCATCAGTGAGGCACACCGTTAAAGATCCACTGCTGTAGCCGCCTGCATTCACTGTGATGTTAATGTTCCTTTGCTCAGAGCGTGGTGTTTTAAAGTTAACCGGCTTATTACTGTACTCATTACTTACTATGTGTGTATACAACTTGTAAATGGGATCGTTATCTCGTAAAACTCTGAAGAGTTGTGTGCTGTTTCTGTGTTTTGAGATCCTAGCAGCATTCCTAACATTAACAGTGAGTGTTTTTCTGTTCACAGGTACGGACATGATGATGCAGGACCATCGAACAGAGCACCTCAGAGGAGATATGATCACCAGTCTGCCTCTACTTCTTCACCTTCTGCTTCATCCTCCTCTTCCTCCTCCTCCTCCTCCTCCTCATCTTCCTCTAAAGACAGCAGTGCTGCACCAGGTCGGTACCAGACACAGAGACTCTTCCAGTGACTGGTTTAAAAGTGTCTTGAGATTCTTAATGGTGTCAAATCATGAAGAGAATTATAAATGTTGATAACACCATGTCATCTCGAGGTAACGAGGAGTTTGGTGTTTATTGTCATGATGTTCAGGAACACGCTGACTGGATATTTACAGAACATCCACCCATTGTCTATACACTGCTTAGTCCTCACTATGGTCATGGGGGGCTGGAGTCTATCCCAGCTGACTCAGGGTGAAGGCAGGTTCACCTGGACAGGTAACCAGTCTATCACTTAGAGACAGACAACCAAGCACACTCACATTCACACCTACGGACAATTTACAGTCACGAGAGAGAACCCACGCTGCACGGGGAGAACATGGAGACTCCACGCAGGAAGATCCCGGGTGTCCTCACCGGGACGTGAACCGTTGACCTTCTAGCTGCGAGGCGACGGTGCTAACCACTGAGCCACCTGCAGCCCTATTTACAGTACATGTACATCACAATTATTTTTATTTTTTCACCTTGTCAACATGTTCATACGATGCTGGAAGACATGGATTCACGCATCATGTGTGAAACAATCAGCAACATGGCGGCAAAGTATTTCCACCTTGAAGCTGCAGTGTACCACTGTCAGAGTCAAAAGCTTAGATTCCGACTTCTATGGCTTCATACATGACAGACCTAAAGAACCATATCTGTCAGCTATCAGGGCGGAGATTTCTGTTTCATTATTCTTCTTCAGAATCAGTTTCTGGTCAGAACACGCTGCACAACTTGCCATTGTGTAGCGTAGAGAAGTTGTACAGTGTTTGAGCAGAGTTGTAGGTGAGCTGGTGAACACGAAGCAACAGTGTTGAGTTATATCTAAGACAGCAAGAGATTTATTTCATGGATGTGTATTCTGATACACAGAAATGAGATTTGAAGGGTTTAGTCAGCAACCAGCGGGACTCTAAGAAAGATGAGTGCCTAATTTTGTCTCCTTCTCTACTCGCAGAGCTGCCAGGGTTCTACTTCGATCCGGAGAAAAACCGTTACTTCCGCCTGTTGCCTGGACACAACAACTGTAACCCGCTGACCAGAGAGAAGCTGCAGGAGAAGGAACGGGAGAAACAGAGAAGCAAGATGCTGGCAGAGGACGAGAAGCCAAGAAAAGTAAGTCTGCTGTGATGGAATATGAGTCCCACTTTTCTACGTCTTTTAGCTTTTTGATGTTCATTGTACTCGTAGATTGAACGTTGCGTTTTTCTAGTACAAGAAGTAGACACACTGTGTGCACTAGTTTTTATGTTCCTCATGATAAAAGCTAAACATGAGTCACATTAAATTTTACTCTTTTAGATTTCACTAAAGCATTTTGGCCTCAGGAACAGCTGTAATGACTCTGCATCTGTCTGAGAGGAAAGTGAGAATTCTGTGAAGAGAAATGATAAATAACAGCCTTGAATTATTCAGCAGGGTTTTACCAAACTCACAGTGAGCTTTTAAAGGGTAACAATAAGAAAGATTGACATTAAAGACAAAGAGTCTGTGTTGTCATATCTGACAGAAATCTGTTAGTTTTGCTGCTATTTCAGATCATTTTACAAACTAAATGACTGTTATGCTTGGCTAAAACTTAAACCTCTAATAACAAAACTGGCTGAAATGTTTTAATTTATATATTTATGCTGCAATTCTTCTCATTCTGATGCTGCAGATTTTTCTGTTTAAACCTCTTCAGACTGGAATTTTGTTGTTATTATTGCACAACTCTGCCATACATATTTTGCAGATTGAGTCTTGGTCTTAAACATGCACAGACATTCTGTGGTCCCAAATGAGTTTCATGCTTGTTCCCTTTGAAACTCACATTTTCCACAACTGTATTTAACTTTAAAACTAAAGAATGTTTGTTTTCCTTTTCAATCAACTATAAATGCTGCTTTAAACTTGTCCGTACTTTTACTATGATTGTCTTTAAGTCTGTTTGTTTTATGCGTTACTTTAAATCTTTCTTTTTTACTGTTCTTTTGATTTGAATTTAAATGTTTTCTTGTAGTTTATTTGTCTTTTTATGCGATTAGTGCATTTTGATTCACTTTGCAAGTCCCTTGTAAATGAGCTTTGGTGTGAAATGTGCTCATGTGTCTTCTTCTTTTACAGAAAGCACCGAGATCAGGACTGAACACTTCGCTGCTGCTGCAGAAAAGACATCTTGGTCTGCTGCCTGAGAACTCCTACTGTAGGTACTGTGTCACTGCTGCGCTCCCAACTGGACATGAAGCTGTTTTTCTTTTTTCTGTGGCATTTCAGTGCCCACAGCTGCAATACATTACGAGAAAAAGAAAAAAAAAAACACAACAGGGAAACAAAGACCGACTTTAATGCTAATCAGTTCTGTATGTGCACAGCGAGTTCTCTTCCGAGCTTTGGCCGACCGCTAATAAAGATGCTAATCGAATTTGACAGGCGATTCTACAAAATCACGAAAAGAGACAAAAGCGTGAAAAAACACGGTCAAAATATTGTTCTGCCCGACGGCGTGAATCACATGAATTCATTTCACGTACAAGCCAAACGATTTAGATTCATCCTACAGGCAAACATTTATACGAACAAATAAATAAATAAGCGCACGGACGGCTGGGAATAAGTGCGTATATTATTCTGGTTTTTAGGCGCTGGTTGCTATGGTAACTGTTTGTCTGCAGGCTCGTCCACGAGGTGAAGGTCAGCGGGATGAGACGCCACAAACTGGAGATCCAGAGTGCAGACAGCAGCACCCCGAACACCGACAACTTCAGACTCATAGTGGTGAGAACACACACACACACACACACACACACACACACAAAACACCCTGGGGTTACCACACACACTTTCCTACATAATTTATAGTTAGGATCATATACACATGCCCGGTACAACATTTGTTTCTGCTTACTTTCTGGGGTGCGTGATTTGTTTTCTGTTCTCAGGGGGATTCGGCCTGCGAGCGAGTCTTCACGGTCAACGATGTCTCTCACGGCGGCTGCAAATACGGCATCATGAACTTCAGCAGCAGCAGCCGGGGATCTCTGTCCGTGGAGATGTGCGATAACCTCTACTTCACCAACCGCAAGGTGGGAGTGTTTGACCACGGCTGAAGCGAAGTGTTTCACGTTGATTAAATACAGTCGGATTTATAAATATTTGGACTGATTAAGAGTTTTCATAGTTTAGCGTCTGTCCTCCACCACAGCGCATTGAAACGAAGTTGTCCACGTGTGATTGAAGTGTAGACTTTCCACTTTAAGTCAATACGTTACTGCAATAACCATTCAGGAACTTACAGCCGTTTTTTGTACACAGTCACTTTACTCTCAGACGCTCAAAAGTAATGGCTCTGCTCCGTCTGCATGTGTTCCAGGTGAACTCCATCTGCTGGGCCTCAGTCAACTACCCCGACTCTCACGTTCTGTATCCTTCTTTAGCTTCAGCTGAGCTCTCGGTCAGTCCACTTATCTCACAACTCAAGATCTGAACCTGGTACCGCAGACGAATTACACCGACCAGCCACAACATTAAAACCACCGACAGGTCAAGTGAATAACGTTGATCATCCTGTTACAGTCGGTGGGATTTATGAGGCAGCAGGTGAACAGTCAATGTGCTGGAAGCAGGATCTGATCTGAACGACTTCCTCTAACCGTGACGTTAGACGACGAGCGGCCTGCACAGCGTCAGGCAGCTGGTTTAACGTTGAGGCTTGTCACACATCGTTGTCGCCTCAGCGTTTGTTGAACAGAGCCGGTGTTTTCCTTGACTGAGCCGACTGCCAGGCTGTGTCTGGTCGGAGTGGCAGATACTCCGGGCTGCGTCAGTTTGCTTCCTGCTTCCCTCTTCAGCAACTCCAACCCAGGTACGTCAAGCTTCTCGCACTGTTTGTGATATTCAGCATGGTAAAATATAGAACTTTTAATCCTCTGTAGCTGGAACAGTGTTGGTACATTGGACTACTATTTAAAAATGCTTTCATTTTCTGGAATAAACAGGATTTGACACCTTACTGGGTTTCAAAACTCCTTCATCCGCAGCATCCTGGTGTCTACAGACAGATGATAACCAATAAACTCATCTTGTGCCTTCCCAGTTTTTACCACTTCTCCTCTTGTCTCCCACACTTTTTCCCCTCAGATCAACCCGGGATGCTCTGCAGCTTTAAGATATCCACGGCCTGGTCTTGTGCTTGGTGTCTCAATCCCCAGTTTGACAAGACTTTCAGCACCGGTCAGTCCCACAGGCGGCGTTTTTGTTGCTACTCATTTGATAAATTAATCAAACTGTACTGTATTTATTGTATTTTTATTTTCTTTAAGCACCAAGCACATGTTTTTTCCAACTTCTGAGTCATAAACTATCACAGCAGCATGTTTGTGATGTTCCCAGATTCAGTCTCTCCTACATATTTATGAAATATATCTCTATTGCCAGGATTTCATGGTGATGTACTTGGAAAAATATAATATTTTTTCCTTACTATACAAAATCAGCCAGTATTATTATATTAAATCCTGCAAGATCTGAACAGCGTTGACTGTTCGGGGGGAAAGCAATGCAGCATGAATGGCTTGTCCTTATAATGACCAGAATAAGAGCTTAAATGTGAAGGTGGTTTAAAGAGTTAACTTCCCATGAGCTAGATAGTAAGCCTGTTTGATGGCAGTGTGTCAGTAGAATACGCAGTAACAGACACTTTTCCACTGAGTAAATGAGAAGTGAGTTTTATATCTGAAGTAGTCGTGTTTTTGCAGGTCTGTCCCGCAGGGTCATCGTGAAGGACGCAGAAACGGGTCGAACTCAGACGTACAGCGTCGGCAGCGACGTCTTGGCTCAACAGTTTGCCCTTCGGGTGAGTCTTTTGTTGCTGCAAAGCGATTAAACGTAATTATATCTTATTCACCGGTGCAACTTGTTTCTCACAAACGCAACACAGTCAGTGGAAGGTGACAGAAACCTTTTATTCTCTGATCGAAACTACGGCTGCATTAGCTCACCTTTATTTACTTTGTGCGCTGCTGCTGGTTGCATCACTGGTTTGCTCTGTTTCTAAACCGTCTCCTTACTGTCAGGATACCACTGGCTGGTAAATACTCCTGTTATTCCACCTGCCAGTTTCCTCCAGTGACACTTCACAATGCAGGAATCAAACAGGTCTCTTCTTTAAAGTTTCTGTCAAACAGAGTTCATTTGCAGCTCATCCACTTCCTTCTCTGGCTGAGCTCTTTGGAAGCAGTCAGACGGTCATTCTGTGTTGTCGTCCGCTGGGCCTGATTCAGCAGCGCGACAGCGAAACCAAACCGTACAACCAAATCTGTTTGTTTGAGGATTAACGGCCGACCTCTAGGACACCGTTTTCAGGCAGTTTACAGCAGCAGCATGCTCAGGCTTGTTCATAGTTTCTCTTTTCGTCTCTCACACATCTTAAAAAGGAAAGTACCAACTTAAGCCCTCAGATGGGTGATTTAGAGTCCCTCCGTTGAAGTGGATTTAGTGTATTCTGCTGCTTAACCAGGATCAACTCAGCTTTTATTATGTGGAAATGTCTGTTTGTTAGCACTGATCGTGTGAGTTGTGTTAGTAGCTGTGATTTAACCTCCTAAACAAAGTTACGGATGCCAAATTAATCACAAACAGGTTGTATCATATGTTGAGGATAGATTTAAAGGAGAAGGAAACTGAATACTTGCATTCCTGCAGGTTCCTGTCCTGTTTAACGGCTGCAGGTCGGGGGAGATCTTCAGCATCGACCTCCGGCAGCGAGGACGCAGAGATCAGAGCTGGAAGGCGACGCGATTCCATCAGGAGTCGGCCATCACCTCCGTACGCGTCCTGGAGGACGAGAACTACCTGCTGGCTGCCGACATGCTGGGCCAGGTCAGCTCACTGACGTTTAGAGCCTGATTCTGTTAAAGGCACTGAATTCTCAACCCTCTGAACCTCCCAAAAAAACACAAAATGCATCTTATCTCTAAAGAAGTTGCCAAAGTTCCATCATTTATCAAAGTATCTGTCGTATGATATCTGAAGTAGTTTTGTCGGGAACTTTAATAAAATCTGAGCTTGAAATTGTGGAATATTTCATCAACATCTCTTTATTCTACAAAGATTTGCCAAAAATAATTTGTTTGCAAAAAATTCTTCACTCTTTGGTGCAACTGAGAAGCCACGACTGAATCAAAACGTGAAGTTTTTAGCTGAACTCCAGGCAGTGTTTCCACAGAGCAGAGAGAAGACAAGTGTGGAGACAAATTAGAGAGAATAAAAAAGAAAATGGACGTGATCGATCAAATAAAAGCAGCACAGAAAGGACCTGGTTGTTGGAAGACACACTCAGCATGGTGAAACATCTTTCTGAAGCTGATGCGCAGAGGCTTTTATAAAAGTGTAACTAGAATTAAAGACAAAAAGAAAACATTTATAGACTGTAGAGTTATTGTGGGACTTGTTGATTCCAGTTTTTCTCAATTTTTGTAAAAACAAATGACAAAAAATCAACTTTTTTCTTGTTTTATGCCATTTTAACTGAGACTTTTCAGAATTCTCTTTACTTCTAGTCGTGGTTGTTCTGTTTCCATAGAGCTGCAGGACTTTATATTGAAAAATGAGCCCACAGTGGAGGAAAAATGTCACAGGAGCAAAACTGAATCCTCAAGAACTGATTGGAGCTCAGAGGGTTAGTTACTAGATTACTCCTGAGATGTTCAGAAGTTAAATGTTTGAGTTTATTGCTTGTTTTTGAAGCTAAGCACTAAGCTTATATTTACTCAGACTGTGTCTTTATTTTGGGGTAAACTTGTGAGAAACCTTCAGAACATGTCAGGTTTTTAACGTTGTCGTCTTAACGTATGTGCAGATCAAGCTGTGGGACGTTCGAGTGACGAAGCCGGTGCAGGAGTACAAAGGGCATTACAACGAGCACGTCTACCTTCCCGTCCACGTCAATGAGCGCGAAGGGCTTTTGTTGGCAGGTAGGAGGCGAGAAAACACACCAGTGCACTATATATAGAATAAAACCGTCTAACGGGCCGATTCGTCCTCAGTGGGTCAGGATTGCTACACCCGTCTGTGGAGCCTGAAGGACGGCCATCTCCTGAGGACCATCCCGTCACCCCACCCGGCCGCCAACGACTTGATCCCGAGCGTGGTCTTCTCCTCCAATCTGGGAGGCTGCAGAGGGTTGCCGGGTCTGCTCATGGCCGTCAAACACGACCTCTACTACTTCCCGTACAACACCGACTACCAGGACGGAGCAGAGCCCAAGGACGGACTTTAGGAGGTGTTTGTGTTTGGTGATGGGGAGTTAAAAAGGCCGGATGAAGTTACTGTGGGACTGTTCCTCAACCCGTCGGCCAGCTTGTGCAGTTGATTTAGTGGTACCAAACTTTGGGCTGGAAGACGACCTCAGAAGAGTTGCATTGAAATCTCAGGGGAATGTTGTTTTTCACAGATTTTTTTTTTTTTGTGCCAAAAAGAAATCAAAGTGCTGCACAGTCCCGTTACTTACTGCACCCTGTTCTAATTAAGTGCACTTACTGAAGACTTGATTGACCTTGATTTTTAAAGAGCCCATGTTCTGCTGTTTGGGGTTTTTGGGGTGTTATAGATCTGGTTTTTGTCCGTATAAAAAGGCCTGCAAAGTGACAAAGGATGTGCAGAGTCCATGCACAGCTGTGTTACAGGGCAGCAGTGTGCATGTGTGTAGTATATAGATCAGGGGTGTCCAATCCTGGTCCTCGAGAGCCCCTATCCAGCATGTTCTAGATGTTTCCCTCTTCCAGCACACCTGATTCAAATGATCAGGATCGTTCTGCAGAGCTTGATGATGAGCTGATCATTTGAATCAGGTGTGTTGGAAGAGGGAAACATCTAGAACATGCAGGATTGTGGCCTTCAACGACCAGGATTGGACACCGTGGGTCTATACTCTGAGATCTGGGGTTTCTGACCAGCATTGCCTGACTTTGGTCGGACCAGCTGACCAATCAGAGGAGGCTGGGCTTTCCAGGAGCTGAAATGGAGAATTTCAGACAGAGGCTGAAGAGATGAGCTGCCACGAGACAAACGATGTGCTTCATGGACATGAAAGCATGTTAACATATTCTATTGGACCCCAAGAGTTTAGTTTTAACCTGTAAATGTGCAGAATATGGGCTCTTCCATGGAGTTTACTGGATCGATGCTGTGTTTATATTGTACATCAGTGCGTTTTCTAACTGTTGAATCCTAAAGCTATTCTGAAAGATCTATTAAACACGGTTGCAATGTATTTGCTCCCAAATGACACCACGCGGATGTTGAGTTTTTGCACTTTAATAGTATGAGCATACATGAACACAAGGTATTGATTGGTTCCATGTGATATCTATATTCCATGATCACCTCCTTCTGATTCAGGGCCAAAGTCTGCTCTGTGTTGACATCAAACCAACTCTTCCAGTCAGTCAGTGGAAAAAAAACAAACAAAAAACACTTGCAGTCAAAAGTCACGATGCCACAAAAGCCCGTCAGCATCGTGTGTCATACTTATCTACTCTGTACAACACAAGCAAACATGGCTGACGTGGCGCCGCAGCTCTTTAACAGCTCCGAGCTAACTAGCCGCGCAGCCTGAGTTGTCCTGTTTGAGGGGCCAGCCTCAAAGAAGAAGTCTTTGTCTGCGGTACCGGTACGCTACTGTGAGCCAGCCACGCTATAAAAGCAGTTACGTGTAACCCCGCCGCAGTCGCACTCGTCCTCTTTACAGATAGTAGCTTTGACATTTAACAACAAAATTTAAAAATTTCCCTATTAAAGTAAACTTTGTTTTTCCCATATATGTTCCTGTATACTCTATGTAAAACTCAACAGCATTATTAAGGCTGCTCTTTTATCGTCGGCCCGTTCAAGTTCACAAACAACCACGAAGGACGGAGGATTATTTAAGTAGTAATTATTATATAAGTTGGAATGCATCTTGATGCTACAGTACACCAGTGGCTTCTGATTGTTCTATTATAAACCTCGTAAAGCCAAAGAAAGCTAAAGCTAGCAGGAAAACTACTGTAAAGGCGATCAAATATGGGTCAGAATGAACTGTGGCGGATCGTTTTCCAGGGTTTTCCATCTTTCTAAAGCCAGACCTGAACGTTACACCCAAGACTCATGCAGATAACAATCTGATATCAGTATAAAATCAGTCAGCACTTGTATGTTGTGCCAGAGAAAAGGTGCTAATAGTATTAGTAGGTCACACTGGGAGGGATTGTCAAAGGGATTCATGTGCATTAATATAACTCTGAAAGGATCTAAAGGGCCACATGGATATTTACCTGAAATCAGTCATGATCAAGCATAAAAAAAATACTCCTATCGTCTCGCTGAGTCGTTTTGTCGTCTTGATATTTCCGTCTCACTCTGACTCTTCACAGTGTAAATTATAGGCATATTAAAGTGAATTAAGATATCAAGAAGGGACCGAAGTGACGTGAGACCGACAAAACATGAGTCCAACCAGCCAGAAAACCCCAATGAAGCCTTCTTCAGCCAGATTTGAAATGCTGTCACTTCCAGTTTCCGCAGTGTTCCGGCTCCTGGTCCTGCTCCTGGTCCTGCTAGAGCTCGCCGGGTTTCTGGCTGCAGCCGTTACAGACCCTGACCGGGTGGTCCCAGCCGCGGGACGGAACCGGGCGCCGCTCCTGGGAGCAGTCGTCGCAGACGCCCTGACCGCAGGCGCGACAGTGGTGGATGGAGAGACGGGCGGTGAACTCCCTTTGGCACTCGCAGCAGGAGTGGATGTCCTGGTCGGGGACCCAGTAGGCCGGGCGGGCGGCGTCCTTCACCAGGCCTGGACACGCAGGAAAGACGGGCTGTTAGTATGACTGTGAAATGGAAGCTTCTACTGATGAATAAAAGATTTATTCCTCTGAACCCCAAAACCTGCCCGTGGGTTTAAAAGGAAGTCATCTATAAAAAACACACATTTATCACAAGAAACTGCAAACACAGAAAGAGTTTGAACTTTCCCACGGTCCTTGAACTACTCATCTGTGACACCTTTGGTCAAAAAAAAGTTGGCCAGAACCAAACTTAAAATCATGATATTTCATTAAACTTTATTCTGCATTTATGTCTTTGTGTGTGTGTGTGTGCGTGTGTGTGTGTGCAATATCTGGCACAAGAAGTTCCTTTAGTATTAACAAACATTTATGTTATCTTCTCTTATTAAAAATTGTCCCCCCAAAAATTATCTATTTACACCAGATTCTACTTTAAAATAACAAACAAACTGTGAAGCAATTTGTGACGAAGCTGCAACCAACATTCACGTGACGAATATCTAAAGACTTTTGGCTGAATTGCAGCAAGTGTTGAAACCGATTAAAAATGTAATTAGTATAATAATTAAAGTATATAGAGTCATAATTTTTCTAGAATTAACAACACCTTGTTAAGTTCAGGTTTTCTCAATTTTTGTAAAATAAGTGATTAAATAAACTCAACTGTTTTATTTTTGTGATTTATGGTAATATAAGCGTGTCATACTGCACAAAGACATTTCTGAGTTTGTGCTCCTTCTAGCTATGGTTGTTCTGTTTCCACAGAGCTGCAGGACTTTATGTTGTCGTAAAAAATGAACCCGTGGTGAAGAAAAATGTACCAGTAGCACTAAAACACCCAGAAACTGGTGTCATGCATCTTTGGCTGCAAAATACGTCTTTTGTGATCTTTGTGATGTCTTTGGACTAATTTTGGTGCTGAAGTGTGAAAAAAAAGTTCCAGAAATCACCTTAAACAACCCAAAGTACCGTCACTTGTTTGTATTTATCTGTTGATGTGACTAAATGTTCCTACAGGAAGTCTCGACAGAAAAGCGAGCAGACATGAGGCCGGCGCGTTCAGATGTCGTCAGATTAACAGAAAGAAATCTGAGAGGAGCTTCAAGTCTCTGCTCACCGAGAGGTATGTCGATAGCACCAACCACAGCTCCCAAAGTGTTCTGGACGGCCTCCCCGACCTTCCTGGCGATCAGCGTCCCTCCCTCCTCCTCCAGGGCAGCATCCAGCAGCTCTGCAACAAGAACACAAACACATAACGTCAGATATTTACAGCACGCCGTCAGGAATCCAGGAAGCCGTTAAAAGCTGCATACCAGTCGGGATTCCCCTGTTGTGGAAACAGGCGTCGCAGACTCTGACGGGCGCGAGGCCCCAGCCCCTCTCCGGGACCGGTCGGGTTTTAGAGGAGCAGGCGTCGCAGAAACCTTCTCCGCAGGCTCGGCAGTGATGCTTAGTGTCGTTGGCCTGGAACTCCTCCCCACATTTATGGCATTTCTGCAACACAGGCGTATTAGGTGCTGACAATATTCTACCGCGCTGTTGTTTTATAGTTCTAGTGAGGTGTGGGGGACGTACCAGGATGAGGGAGTTGGGTTTCCAGTAGGCGGGCGCGATCTGGTCGGTGAGCCAGGAGGTGACGGCTTTGGCAGGTTTGACGCTGAGTTCGGACACGGACTGGGAAATGTATTTGACTCCATCCAGCAACCTCTGAGCAGCGTTGTTGTTGTCTTTCAAAAAACCATCCGACTGAGAGGAAGACAACAGCGTCAAGAGTCTGTTAGTCATGTTTTGTACAAGTATGAGTCACTGTTATCACTGAACACTGAGCAGCAGAACATACGATGGCTGGTCACTGTAACCTGCTAATACACAGTAGCATAGCCTTGGAGCTAACATGTAGCATCAGCTGTGCTTATGTCAGCAGTATTACATGAAAAATGCTACATTCATGTGACTTAGAACTGCTTGACTTTTTTTTAAAGACTGGCATAAGTAGAATCTCATTTGGGCTGCTCCGCTGAGGCCTCACCCCGGGCCAGATGTGCTGGATCTCTGTCCTGACCACCGTTTCCACTGGGTCCTGGTTCCCGTACCAGTACTGCCTGCTTCTGTAGATCACTGCACAGTTGGGACACTCAATGACATACCTGGACCAAAGACAAAAACATCTAAACTTCAGTATCAAGGAAACAGTCTGCAGACGTTATAAAAAACTCTCTGAACAAGTTGACAGTGAATCAGCAAACGGAACATCGTACTGCGGGCCAGTCTTTCACTTTACTTAGCAGGGACGTACTAAATTATACGTCCTAGCTCCTGTGCTCGCTGGACTCACCCAGACCAGGCGTAGATGGCCAAACCAAACCACGGTGAGTCAGACGAGGCCGTCGTTTTGGGAACCACGATGACCTCCTTTCCCCCCTCATAGCAGGCCTGAAGAAGTTCAGCACAGACGTCAGACATTTGTTCAGCAGGAATACGTGGTTCAGTCAAAACGTTCTGCATGACATCGTTCTATCAGCATCAGCAGATGTGTTTGTGACCAGTGGTAGGTACACGATATCTCCACAGAGTCAAAACTTTCAGAGAGCAAGCAGTCAGTGTCAGTCAGCAGCTGGATGACCATCAGCTGATCAGAGGTCAGTCTGCAGCGACCACCGAGACACCAAACAGCAGTCTAACGGTGGAGGAGCCACAGTCGCAGTCATGTTTACTCACCGTGGGCTCGTAAAGTCCTAGCTACTGGAAAAAACTTTGGACACGTTTATCTTATTTTGGACAAAGTTTGAGTCTTTTGGGACAAGTTCAGATTACGTTCTTGCTTGCTGTTTACGTCAAAATTCATGTTGTTGTGCTCAAAGAATTTGAAGCCCAGAGCCAGACTATCACTGCAGAGTTCTACTGTATGGTTCCTTGAGCTCATTTTTTATTTTGGACAATTTTCCGGTCATTCTGGACACACTTTGAGTAATTTAGGATGAATTTCGAGTCATCTTGATGTTGCTCGCTGTTCCCTTCGACATTCACACAGTCGTGTTTTGTGAGTTCGTCCCTTTAGGCTGGATCGTCACTGTGTGGTTCTACTGGAACATGAGGGAGAACATTTGGAACAAACAAACTTAAACGTGCTGCAAATTGCATGTGGGTGTTCAAACTGCACCTCGTCACAACACAGCCAGTAAACATGTTGGATGTTTTTTTATTGTCACTCTTCATCCACTCTACTTGCCAGATTTGGCTCTTCGTCCTCTTCCCCAGAATGAAACTCAAGTTTAGGGTTTAGGAGATTCAGCATCACTAATGGTGCGTGTCTACAGAACGGGCCTTTCAGGGAGCTACTACAGGAGCAATAGGAGCAGAGCATCGCTACACAAGGAGACTCATTTGAAACGGATCGACCGGAAATGTCAATCGGGGACGTTTTTTGATTCTGAGCTTTTCGACTGCACCTTTTACTTCATCATGTGACTGTATGACTGTAGTTACCTTGCAAGTGTAGATACGGTTGTCATATTGTGCGGAGTAGCGGCAGCGATGTTTGGCTTCATGCTCAAGTCCTTCCTTTAGGTGATTCATGCTTCTTTTACAGCCTGACCTAAAAATGGGAGAACACAAGCAGGAGTCAGAGACAAAGTCTTTTAATGATGATGAAATAAAGTGAACGTTTCAACATTTATTTTTTCTTATAAATACAATGACGTTATTAATGGAGCCACTACATGAACATTGCAAATAGTAGATAGAAGAAGAATTGGCTGCCAAATAATTGTCAAATAAGTGTCAGAGTCAAACTATGCAGCTCATTCTGCAATTTATACAAAAACCAACAGATTAGGATCCCCAGGGTGGTCAGGAAGGGTTGCTAAATGATTTCCAGACATTTATCTCAGCATATTTTTGTCACAATTGTTACAAAGGATTTAAAAAAAACTGCTCCGACAAACTGTATGTTGACTTAATACTATAGTTTATACATGGAGATTACTCTGACTGATGTATTCAGCTGTTAGCCTGCATTAAGTTACTATAAAATCATATTGTTGTGTTTTTTTTCCGTTGTCTTTATGTGTATATTGTAAATATGGGGTCTTGGGTTTCTGGCACTGTTATTTTGGGGGCTGTAAAGTTAAGCAACTCCTGTTATAATATCAGAGAATCTTGTCACATGTTGGTGTAAATGCTCATTTCTACTTTGTGGAACAGTGAGAAGAGACACACATACCCACAGCTGAGGCAGATGCTGGAGCAGGTGAAGTACTCATCTGGAAAGAAGGAGTTACTGGTCATGTGCTCGTCTGAGATCTCCCCACTGAAGCGTTCACTCAGGGCCTGAACGAAGAAGGAGACCAGAGACGCTCAGTAACGTTCACTGTCAGCTTTCAGGTCACAGAACATCCAGTCACAGGACGACACAGATATCAGTCAGTACCTGCAGAGCTTTGTAGATGACGCTGGCAGAGCGCGGGGAGCGGGTGGTGTTGTTATCCAGCTGCTGCTCCAGGGTGCGAAGCAAACCGCTGAAGTCTGTCGGAGGGTTGTAGGTTCGAGTCCCGCGGTACTGGATGGAGCTGAAGGCTTCTGGGAACAGGCCCAGCTTCCTGAAACGCTCCTGGAGGAGACGCTCGGCCGATTCAGAAGGTTTGTCTAATGAGTAAAGAAGGAGAGCATGAAGGCAATCCAGTTACTGAAACCCATATTCAGCATTTTTCAGATTATTAGTATAATTATTAGTTTTTTTAACTCCCATTGAAGTTACGTATTTAAAAATACGCTCCTGTTGTTGCCTCTATTTACAGTCAACACTCTGTGGTTTCTTTTATTTAAACACAAATAAACAAAAGCTTTTCAATTAAGATTTGAGTTGAAATTTGCACTTTTCTAATTGTTTTAACTGTAACTGACCTTGATAACTAACAATCAGTACCTATATGCGCCTTATAAAACCCCACATCAACCCCTGCTAAGGACAGCTTAAAGCCTAACGGACTCGTCCCACGCACCTGATCCGAGCAGCTTGGTGTGGACGGTCTCGTGGAAGATGATGACCGCTGGGCCCAGGGTGGACAGCGGGACATCCAGACCACAGCGGGTCGTCGTCGCCTTCAGCTCCCGGGTGAAATGTTTCAAGTAGGCGTCCGACGCGTCACCGAGGAACTTGAAGAGATCGTCGTGAAGCCGGTCAGCGTGTGTTCGGTAGATAACCACATCGGAAATGGCCAGAACCTTGAGGAGGAGTCGAGTTCTCTGACCCTGATTGGCTCCTGATGAGTGAAAAGAGGGCAGAGAATTAGTGGGCTGCAACAGCTTCTTGTTATTAACGTTAAGCAAATGAGTGGTTTGTCTCATACCAGCCCCGAGGAGTCCCTCTGTGTCGATAACTACGACCCAGTGCAGAGGGTCCATAGCTGCCCAAATGCCCACAGTGCAGGACTCTTGGGTGGGGGAGGTCTTGAAAACTTCTCTCCCAAGGAAGAAGGTGTGGTTCAGGGTGTGGGATTTGCCCTCGCCAGTGTTTCCAAAGATAGAAACCACCTTGAGGAGCTCATCTGGTCTGCAGCCCAGCCTGTCGACGAAGTCCTCCTCATCCTTCACCTGAGAAAACACAAAACATCAACTTCATCATAAGACATCATAAAGGAGCTGCTGCCAAAAGTTCAACTGACTTTTCAGACACCTACCTGCATCTCCTCCTTCTCGTCCACCAACAGAAAGCTGCAGACCTTCTCCAGCTTGGCCTTGAGGATCTCCATCTCCGACTCCCCAGAAGTCACGCTGTTCTCGTGAGCAGCTTTGACAGGAGGATAAGGTGTCAGAGGGTGCTTCCTCTTGTTGACTCCACCGTGGGTGCGTTTCTGGCAATCCAAACACAGGTTGATCTTACAGCCCTGGCAGCGCACCACCGCTCTGAGCCTCCCAGAGCAGCTGCTGTCGCCTTTACAGGAGTCGCAGAAAGGAACGTGGCCCGGCGCGATCCGAACCCGATCGTGATTCCTCATCCGATCCTGGCGATGCAGCTCCAGTTCGCAGCGAGCGCACTGCAGGCTGCCGCATTCATCGCATTCAAACGCAGCCTCGTCTGAACCCCCGCAGGCATAGCTCTCCTGGCAGACTAGGATTGTGTTCATTCCTTTATCTACTGCTGGACCTTGACTACTCATGTCAAACCTGACAGGTCAGGGTGTTGATAACAAGTGGGAACTGTGACTTTAACTGTGCGGTACTGGGATTGCAACAGCAGTGCAAAGGAGGACACAATGTTATGGCACAGTTGGGTAAACCTCTTCTACCAGATGTCATGTAAGATTTTTGTTCAGAAAAGCCAATTCACTCATGAGCAATGCTAAGAAAGTAAATAACACTGAGCTGAGCACTTTGTCACTGCTTATTTGAGCTGCAATTAACCATTAATTTCACTACAGTTTCATGTATTGATTATTTTCTCGATTAATCGATTAGTTGTTTGCGCCACAAAATCTCAGAAAACAGTGAAAATGTCAGTTCTCAAACCTTAAATCGCAGAAACCAGAAAATACTCACATTTAAGCAGCTGGAATCAAAGGAATAAGACTTTTTCTATCCTGAAAAATCATTCAAAACAGTTGTCAAAACAGTTGCTGATTAATTTAAAATCAGACAACTAATCGATTAATCGTTGCAGCTCTATTATTGCCGACTCCAAAACATAATCTGGTCTAAAATGTGACGCACTGATCAGTGGGGAGAAATGAAATATACTTTATCAAGACTTTTCAAAGAAAACTTTTTACTGAATTACTTCAAACATTTAGGGAAATATTTGCCTTCTTGCTGAGTGTATGTGTTGGTGCCTTTGAAAGCACCCAGATAATACATCAAGTATAATAAGACATTAATTACGCAATACAAAGTGTATATGACACGAACGGATTACAGATGAGTTATAACAGGTATGCTGTTCAAAACAAAGACAGTACTTCAAGACTTACAGATTCATCGATTGCTAAAATAGTTAGCAATAAATTAAATAGTTGACAACAACTAATAAGCTTTTTGTTTACCATTAATGAGGATATTCAGTCAGTCTACAGTAAAAGCAGCAACAACAAACACAGTTACCCAGACTAGCTAGTAGTTAGTTTGTGTTTACAGTTTGCTAGCTAACGTTAGCTGCCCTGCATCTCCTGCTTTGTTCTAGCAGCCTGGCAATGCTATTTGGATGTAGCCTGTGGTATGCTAGTCATATTGCCTCAAAAATACGCCGTGAAGCTCAATAATAAACAGCCATGAGCTAATACTAGCCACACAAAGAGACACAAACAACCTTCATTTAAATCGACTGACCTAGCAGCTGCTACCAGTCCGACGGAGAGCCGTCAACTAAAGCGCTGCCTCGACACGCTCTGAAACCGGACACTGTCTACCGCCGCGCCGCCGACTGCCACATATAGCGGCCGGAGAAAGTTAGCTGGCTGGGAAATATTGTGTCAGACCCTTGTAGATGTTGTTGCTTTTACATCAGCTGATCGGCTTGTTTTTATCCAGAGGTCAAAAGTCATCAAATAGCGCAACGCACTCTGGGAAATGTAGGACTTGCAGTTAGCATAGCAAGCCGATCGTTAAGGATTGTCTGCGTTAAAGACGACGCATTTTAATTATTTTTTCAGCATAATAACTACATTTTATTCCTTGCATGGTTTCTAAAAATTAGTACGATAAAAAAATAAGCAGCAAATTAAACAAAGGAAGCGCAAATATAAAAAATATAGCAATCATTACCCATAATGCTTTGCTCCTTCCAGCTGCTGTAGAGTTTGCTTTTTTTGTGAACCGGCGCACACCGACGCTCCACAGTTACACGGAGTTAACAAGTAAAACTGACATACAAATTGCTAATATCGATTGATGTGTCACAAATGTTGACTTGTACAGTATATTAAGTACTTAATTGCCTATGGTTGTTGTCATGAACGCCGCTTCAACTGGATTTATCCTCTTTTGTGTTTGTTAGCCACTTGTACTGAGTTACATACGATCGGGATAACCTAGTGAGGAAAACAAACAATCAGCCAAAGTCGGGATGATTTCGGCACCAAAATAGTTTTACTTATCCTTGGGATATCGCTTTTTTCTTATTTTGCATTTAATATGAGCAGCTTAGCAGCTTAAAAATGCATTTATACATTTGTCATCTTTCCCGTTGCTAAGAATTTATCCGTTTCTCTCTTCTCATGCTGCTGACCTTGCCTGCTCCCAGCAGCTAGCCGTCGTTAGCTCAGTGCTAGCTTCAGCTAACTGTTTACTCAGCGCTCGCTTTTCTCCTTCATGGTTCATCCTCTGCTTTTGGTTCATTCGTGATGGAGGACGAAACGTTCACGGACATCAGTGGTAAAAGTATATGTCTGGACTGTCAGAGTCACTCCAGCTTCTGCAGGGAGTTCACCGTCAGCTCCCCCAAAGTGTCCATCGGCAAGGTGATGGTGTACACCTGCTCCGTGTGGCTGCTGGCGTACGCGGTGTTCTTCCTCACACAGGTAGGACACCTGGTTATTAATAAGTAGCTGTACGCAACAGATGTGAGCACACTGCTCTGTAACATCACCTAACCGTCCATGCTTCAACACTGCATGATGTTACAGGAATTGCTTTACTTCTGAGTTGAATACTGTTTGTTCAGATGTCAAATTAAAAACCAACAATGCACCTTGTCAGCCAGCATTTTGGTTCATCCTCAGACATTCATGGAGCTTCTAGAAACGTCATCAACACCTTCTGCCCTCATGCAGCTCCATGTCATGATGCTGCCACCTCCGTGCTTCACTGTCTGGACCATGCATCCGCTGTGGTGGTCCTGGTCCGGTTCACACCAAACATGCTGAACAGTTTTCTTTGCAAAGTTAAATCCAGCAGTTTCAGCACGCACAGGTTTCTGTCCAAACGAGGGAAGAGGAGGCAGACGGAGAGATGATGATCAGAACCAGCAAAGGAAAAAAGCAATTCATTCAATTAGGCAGAAGTAGGGCCTCAAAATTAAATGAACATTAATCACAACAATGGTTTTAGCTGCACCATTACATGAAGACCATCCACTGTGGTACTTGCAGCTCTCCATGTGTAATACCATGACATGTAATAACCCTAACCCTTTTTAAACATGATTATAATCAATACTGTGATATTTCTACTAAATGCACCAAATTTCTTATTGTATGAGTCAAATTCACATTATCGATGTTCAGATATTAGAGAAATACACCACATGTTATGTTTATGGTCAGAACTGTGTCGCTCCAGTGGCTTACATCTGATGATGGATTCATGTTTGTGTTGCATAAAACCAGGATGCAAAAAATACTACAAGCGATATTCTTTGAGATTTAATCAGAAAATCATACAAACATCAGTGTTTCCTGCTTGGAGGAATTCTTAGCATCAACCAAAGAGGTTTTAAAATCCCTAGTGAAAAAAAATATTTGCTTTTAGTTGGGGTTTTATTCACATTTCTGCTCCTCAAATGGTCAGAAGTAACAGGAAAATGCATAGACTTCTGTTAGATTAACACCGACTCATTGCTGTTACTGTAGTTGCCCCGTAAAGGCTCATCTGAAGCCGGGACAAACCCTCGACTCACAACCAGACCTCCATGCTAACGTCCTCCCTCTTTTCAGAACACAGCCGTCCTGTCCAGCGCCATCCTCATCACCCTCGTCGGCATGATGTTCCACATCCACTTCGTGAAGGTGGACCACGAGACGCTGCTCGTCATCGGCTCTTTGGGGATCCAGGTGTCTTCCAGCTACGCCTCGGGCCGCGAGATCACCACGTTCATCGAGATGAGCAAGATCAAGGATATCGTCATCAATGAGGCGATTTACATGGTGCGTTCGTCGACTTATGTGCAAATAATTTTACATTCTGTAGTTGTTTGCATTTGTCAGAGAGTTTAATCGATGCCTTTCATTTCAGCATCAGATCATCTACTACCTGTGTGTGCTGCTGAAGGACCCCTCCGAGCCCAGCGCAGTGTCCAGTGTGGTGCCGTTATTTCAGGTGAGAGCGACTGGAAGGTTTTCCCAGACCTCCTGAAAACCCGCTTTGGGCAAGTTACTGTCAGCGTTTTGTTGCTTGTTTACCTCCAGTGACGGGCCCGTCAGAACACGCAGGAACCTGTTTCTAAAGAACTCTCTTTTCTTTGTCTTTCAGAGCTCAAAGCCGAGGCTCAACTGTTTGGTGAAAGTTTACAAAAGCTGTCAGGAGATCCTTTCAAAGAGCCAATGACGCACCGCTCATAGCTAGGCGACGTTTTTACTCTTTACTTTGCTTCACATGTCTGCTTTCTACGTTTATTTTGTTACCGGTTCATTTGATTTGTGCATTTTTCTGATTTTTCTCTTTTTCACACTTGAAGCAGGGCTGCACGATATTGAACCTGACGTTGCTGCGTTTTGTTTTTCTGCGATATATATTGAAGAAAATGCAGTGATTCTCAGCAGATGAATGATTTGAGATGGAGGGAATTAATTACTCTAGAATGATTGTGATTTTGTAGAAGAGTGCAACAAATAATTTTAAAAAGCCATTTGATGCTTTCCCTTCTGGTTTCCGACCTGCAAAGTCATCTGACGTATATATTTGCTTCGTACTCGTCACACAGAGCTTTGTGGTGTCGATGTAAGCGGTCAAACTGACCACGTCTGTTGCCAAAATGTGCGAAACACTGCCGACAGAGTTCCTGCTTTTGGTCAACGTCGCCCTTTCTGTAGCTGAAGGGTTACAGCTGATGCTGTGTTTCTGGTTTCTGACTCATTTTGCTGGAAACTGCTTGTAAAAAAAAACATCCATCCAAGACAAGAACCCTTAAAACAGAGCAGACAACGTTCTATCAGGTGTCTTTAGATCAGTCGTGGAAAGTGAGACTGATTTCTTTTTGTATTAAGAACAGTTGTGGCATCATGTTTGAGTTCTTTTGACTTTGTGAACGTCTCAGTGTGGATGCTGGAACAATACAACACGCAGCCCCAACATGAAGTGAATACTAAAGAAAGGAGCCGTATTGAAGTCAAAATATTGGACTTTGTTGTCAAATTACTTTAATAATTAATGAGAAATAGCACCAGTCGTCTTTATCTGCAGGCATAATGTGAGCTTCTGTTCTTTTACGCATGAAACTCGGATGAATTTTTCCTTTAATCGCACAGACTTCTATGAAATGATTACGCTCACTGTGTCTGCAGTAAAAGTATTGATGGTTCAGAGCATCGTGCAGCTGAACACCGAGGTGACTGTCATCAGTCTTTGCAGTTACTGCTTTCAAACGTCTGTGCTCTCAGCCTCAAAACTGTGAAAACCTCAGTGTTCTCTTTGACAGCAGCTTCAGCTTGAACAAGAACCCGGTTGTTCCGTCTGTTTATCAGGAGACTGGACACGTTTGTACAAACAGATTACAGCTTGTCCAGAATGCAGCCCAACAGAACAGCTCGTTAGTCCCAGTGGAGCCTCTCCAGTGGCTCCCAGAAAAAATCTGAGTCGTTTTTAAGATAATAATGATGATTTTTAAGACCCAGATCACACAGTCTAAGTTGTTCCATGATGTGAAGTGAGACCCAGATGGTGACGAGACCTTTTCCGTTTTGTTTTGTTTGTTAGTTTTTTGGGGCCGATGCTCTCTGGAACTCTTTATCTTCTTTTAAATCCTCCTTAAATGTTTTGTTCATCACTTATAAACCACTTTAATCTGCATTTAATTAGTTTGAAGAGCGATATATGTAATCAAACGTTGATTGATTGATTGAAAACCCGTCTCTATAGATGAGCGTTCACTGGACTCGTCATCTAAATTCACATTGATCACTTCATAAAGACTTAAAGGCGTTCTCTTAACTTTTGCTTTTGCTCATTGATTCTTTGAATTATTTAATATTTCTTTGCTTATTTTACTGCCCACATGTAGCTTTTGAGCCATTTTTAAACTACTTCTAAGTTGGTTTTTATAACTTTTTGTCTTGTGAAGCACTTTGTTTCTGTATTTTTGGGAGGTGCTGTATAAATAAAATTAATTATTGCTTTATTTAAACTTAAGGAGCCAACTTTTGAGTGGAATAAATAATAGAAATAATGTGCAACAGTTTAGCTTATTTATGTATGTATTTAGATTTGAATGAATAATGAGGCCAGTTTTTGTGTTTTCTAATCGTTCAGACTGTATTTTTGATTAAAAACTCATTTGATAAAACATGTCATGCTCTTGATTTATTGCCTCCAGCAGCAGAGCAGCTGGATTTATTCTCCCCAGTAGGAGGCAGCAACACACCTGATGAGTCTGTAATGAATCAGGTCTTTTCCAGCTCTTCAGACTCAGAGACAACTTGTTCCTGTTCTCTGTTTGTCTGCAGCGTTGATCACAAACGTACTTTGAATGTTCTCTCTTGGGGGTGAAACAACTGAAGCTGTGAAGGTGTGTGTAGCTGCACGAGCTGCTGCCTTTTTATAAATAACCATCAGCGCCTTCTTCCTTCATTACATTTTCACTTCCTCATAACCACGAACGCCTTCGTTTGGTCACCGGGCCTGTTTACCTAGAAGTGTTATTGAAAGGTAACCAAATTATATTAAAGATACCGTGTGTGTGTGTGTGTGTGTGTGTGTGTGTGTGTGTTTGTAGTGTGATCTTCAGAGTGCTGCTTGTGATTTATCGTTTGAATTCTTTATGAGTAAAGTGAATATATGGAAAATGTCCCCATTTTGGTCATTTTGGTCGTTTCATCGTGCAGGATAGCAAGTTGGATGATCACTTTTTATACACATTTAAGCCCCAAACTCATTCACAGACGTGGCAAATTTTGATTTATAGTGAATTTTTATTGGGCAAAGAGGTTTCTTGTGGCTGGAAACAAGCGACAAAAGGCATCAAGATCCATTGTTAATGAGAAATACTAACGATATGTGTGTTTAATTTACATTTTTCTATGAATGCAACGTCCAGAACTAGACGCTTGTAGCTGCTTTAAAACGCTTACATGCGACTTTTTGGCCTTCAAACGTGTTGCGAGCAGCCACACCACAATGTGTAACCGGCACGACCTCATTAAGCTGTTTGGTTTTAGCTGTGGCTTGCAATTGACTAGTAACCGACTAGAGAACGACTGCATCAGCTGTTCTCAGTTTATAGCGCCTTAAAGTGCCTGAGAACGTGGTAGGAATGAACAGGGCCTTTTTTTAAATGGTATAGAAGCTGCATTTTCTACAAAACTTCTGGCAATTTAGTGGGTATGAAGTGCCGTTTCAGTTAAAATGTGTTTACAAAGCATGGACATGGTTGAAGTGGATTGTTAACACGGTGTCCTATAGTGTTTTGTCACTTGAAATCTGTTGGTAAAATTTGTAAAAATCCCTAAAAATCTAAATTTGGCACAGCGATGCCTTATTTTGGTGATTTTGGTTGCATCCAGCTGGCTACCCTGAACGATAAAAAGGCCAAAATCACACTAAAGCCCACGAGTTCAGCGCTCTAGCTTTGTTTTTTCCGTCCCTTCTAACTCTCGGTGACTGTGTGCAAACTCCCCTCGGTCCTGTGCGTGAACTCCGGGTCAACAAAACAAGCGTCAGGGTGCGATTTTCACGGGACGAAGCGTTACGCCGATGTGAAGAGTCGCCCCCTGACAAGTTAATAATAGCCCCTGCTGGAGGTGCGAAACAGGCAGAGGAGAGAAAAAAACCTGGGAGTGACCAGAGGCGACACCTCGGGGCCTCTGAACGGCCTCGTAAAGCAGAGCCGAGGCAGAAACACAGCGAGGCTTTCTTCAGGTGTGGACTGTTAATTACCCCTGTTTGTGGCAGCATTAACTCCTGACTTATCTGCAGCATTTCTGATGTCATTTAAAACACTCTGCAACAGATACCGAGCTGCCTTGTCTGTCTTTATCAAACGTAAACTCGGGTTAAGATTTCTCTGTTATCTGAACGGCACATGAGTAGAATCCTGGTTCGTGGGGGAGGAGGACCCGCTGAGGGGGGCAGCTTCAGCTTTACCACCCGCAGTGAGCACACACAGCGTTATCACACAGCCAGAGGGTGTGAGGCAGCTCGAAGGTACGAATACAGCACTGCTCTGATCCGGTAAATACGGTATTAAAGCCATTTAAGCCAGGGGTGGGCAGTCCTGGTCCTGGAGGGCCACAGTCCTGCATGGTCTAGATGTTTCCAACACACCTGATTCACATGATCAGCTCATCATCAAGCTCTGCAGAAGCCTGATAACGATCCTGATCATTTAATTCAGGTGTGTTGGAAGAAGGAAACACCTCCAACCTGCAGGATTGTGGCCCTCCAGGACCAGGACTGGACCCCCCTGATTTAAGCCAACTGAAAGGTTCCATGTTGTGCCACTTTTAAGGAAACTGACCAAAGTCTTTTGGTTTTTCAGCTCAAACTGCTTCCCAGATGGTTTATTTTACCCAGATTGTGCAGCTTCTGGTGTTAGTGCTGCTATAAATGGGCTGTTTGCTCTAAAAACCAGTGAACTGCTGCTGGTCCCGCCTGCTTCAGGAAGAAAACTCTCCACATGTGTGACTGACGGGTTACTGACCGGCTTGAGGGGTGCTTGAGGAACGTCAGAGGTAGATGGGTTCATATCTTAACATCTTTTGTTCACACATTCAGTTTTTATGATAAAAACAAAACACAAATGATTCATTTTCAGCCTGTTGTGTCTTTAAAAACTGGATAGTTAGCCTGCTTTGGTAAACAGCTCCACCTAGTAGCATGTCTAAAACACATTTAAGATGCTTTCAGATCTCTTTTCTGTTAATGTGACAACATCCGAACAGAATCTGCTCACTTTTCTGTAAAAGGGACGTCGGTAAAGTCACTGAGGAGCAATTCTGTGTCAAGTCTGAACTCCAGCACATTAACAGACACACATGAGGGATGAACTTCGACTTCTGTGATGACGACTTTTTCCACATTTCAGCACTGATGTTGTCACAAAGAGCAAAAGACAGATTGTCAAAATGCTTCTGTTGTTCACTTGACAACAAACTGAAATGTCTCTAAAGATGTAAATGTACGACCATGAGGACAGAGTCTGTAACCGGAAGATTGTAGAGAAACTGAGGACAGGTTTGTGTGTCAGAACTTCTTTCTTCTTTCTTCTCCCATTAATGTTGTTTGTTTGTTTGCTGCTGACACACTGATGCTTCACCAGCAGTGATCTCAGAATTACTGCTTTTCTTGCTGCTTTTGGAGTATTTTTAATTTCCTGTGTTGGTACTTTTACTCAAGTAAAGGATCTGAATACTTCTTGCACCTCCTGGTCCCACGTTTCCTGTCCATTATCTTGACTTTGAGGTAGAAAGGCTCTTCCTCTGCTCCATATAATACCTTCATTCAATGCACTGTTGTGTCTTTGTGTTGCTCTTTGTGTGTATTGAGTTCCTGGCTGGCAGGTGCTGCGGGAGGAAAGCGTTTTGTTGGCGTATTGTTTGAAGTGTGTCACTTCATCCACCGCCGGTTCCAACAGGCAGCGGGAACATAAAGCCCGTTTGGATTTGAATCCGAGTTTTACTGGTCACTTTATTCAGCCGCCGCTATTGAACGCTGCAGACACACGGCTGGGCTGTTTTTCCTGTTTCTCAATGCAGGGTTTCATTCTGTCAGACTTTTTCAGTTGAAATTAGCAGAGAAGCTTTTGCATCTCGCTCTAATCCGGCAGCTTGTTTGTCACCGGACTCGACCCCGGAGTCGACCCGGGGGACGCCCCAACACCCAGCATGCACCTGATCACCTCTCCATCCAAACACCTGTTTATTATGTCAGGACAGGCTAGCGCTGCCTGATCCCCACAGAACAATGCAAACTATCCAAAACATGTCTAAAACATGTACTTTTAAGAGAATACGTCGGTATAAGAGGAGGTTTGCTTGGCGGCGGCGACGCTGGAAAATCCCCTGCTGATGGAGGCCTTGGTGGATTTTTAGCTGATGACACATAACAAGCCACGGCGCTGAAGTCCTACCTGCTGAGTGGCATTGCAGAAGTGTTGACAAAGGAGCACCCATTAAACACCTTCTTGGCTCACGTGATCCACTAACTAAAGGTGCTGCACATCAGAGCTCAGCGTGGAATTTCATTTATGGGAATAACTGGCAGTGGAGCTGAAATGAATGTTGAAGATGAAGCAGAAGGAACAATGGAGGGAGGAGGTTTTTCTCACTTAGGATCTGATGCTTCACAGGCCATGAAATGTGAATATTTTGACAGACATTGTGATATTAGACATAGTTTCAGTAGGAAAAGTCATGTTTCCATTTCTTTTACACTGAAAAACAAATACATAAAAATTAATATATGATTTTTGCCTGTTGCCCTGTACGTGAAGAATGTGTTTTGCTTTATTTGACTTCATTTATAATGGTACTTTTCTTTATGTTATGATGCACTTTACCTTGCAACGCCTGCAATTTGGACATTGCACTCAGACATTTTGTAAATTAGCTAAAATGTTCAGCCGTAGTATTTTAAAACTGGCAGTACTGAGGCAGCTAGATATGAGGTAATTCCCAAAGAGCAACGTTTGTGTGTGGGTTTTTTTTTGTAATATTGGTGATGCTGAGGATGAATTTCATTTTGTGACCCGCTGACCTTCGTGCAGTGACTTTAGGTACTTTGTGTTTGATGAGTTAAAGAATCCTGAGTTGCTCTGATTGTTTCATGCTGATGTGTTTGTGAAGCTTTTTCTGAACTTTAGTCTTTTGGAGTTTGTGAAACTGTCCACGGTGATGTGTCATGCAGGCATCCAGGTTATTACAGTGATATGAGTAAAGAGGAAACGAACTCTTTTCTTTAGACTGTCTTCTATGTGACACAAGAATAAGCTCAGAAATACTCTGATATTGTCCATCGTCGCTGAGCTGAAGCTGGTCATTTTTCCATTATAGCCTGTATGAAGAGATGTGAAACTTGCTGTCGTGAGCAAAGAGATGAAACATGAATGAATGCAAACATCTAAGACAAACCGTGCGGTGACCAAACCTCTGGAAGCAGCTTCGTTAAGCCTGAATACAGTTTAAAGGACTGAGCTGTTTAAAACTTCACCGCCTGTACAGTCGTCACGAAGAAGGAAATTACCTTTAGAGACCGAAAACGTTCCTGTTCCAGGCTGTGGACGTGTTTATTTGTGCTGTAGAGTTGGACATTTTAACATTGACGTCTATGAGGGGTTTACTCGCTTTTGGAGC